GGGCCATTTATGTGAACTATAGACCACGGGGACAAACGATAGACCTTTAGACACCAGGGTCCATATATGTCAACAAAAGACCACGAGGACAAACGATAGACCTTTAGACCCCAGGGGCCATTTATATGAACTAAAGACCATGGGGACAAACGATAGACCTTTAGACACCAGGGACCACATATGTGAACTGTAGACCACGAGAACAAATGATAGACCTTTAGACACCATGGACCATATATGTGAACTATAGACCATGGGGACAAACGATAGACCTTTAGACACCAGGGGCCATATATATCAACTATAGACCACGGGGACAAACGATAAACCTTTAGATACCAAGGGCCATATATGTGAACTATAGACCACAAGGACAAACGATAGACCTTTAGACACCAGGGGCCATATATGTCAACTAAACACCACGAGGACAAACGATAGACCTTTAGACACCAGGGACCACATATGTGAACTATAGACCATGGATACAAACGATAGACCTTTAGACACCAGGGACCACATATGTGAACTATAGACCATGGGTACAAACGATAGACCTTAAGACACCAGCGACCACATATGTGAACTATAGACCACAGGGACAAACGACAGACCTTTAGACACCAGGGACCATATATACGAACTATAGACCATTCATTGTAGGAATTTTAGATCAGAACTGAATTCCTTAGTTGTAGTCAAAGTCTTGTTAAAATGCTGTCTTTTCCATTCCTGTAACCCATCCCACAGTTACTGCTAGTACAATAGGACCTTAATTTAAATCCTGCTGAATAGATGTGCACCCTAACAGACACTGTAATGGGGAGAAACTGCACTCCCCGGGAAATGTGGCTTGGCAAAATAGCTCTAATTGGAAAAGGATTCTGGTGATAAAATTCCTGTGTCCATGTGTCGTTATTGGTGTACATTGAGACTGAGAGAAATCAATAGATTTATACTCCAGCCACATCTGCTAATGTCTCAACTCCAATGTCAGCTAAACACAAATACCATTACAATATATAAACGGGAAAAAATCTATAAAATCACCCTGCCTCATCAATATCCCTATAGAAATGGAATCGGTGAGTCAGCTTAGACAGGGTGGATAACACTACAGGATCAGAAAACAAAACAACACAATATAGAAATGTGAAATGGATTCTAGAGTACAACTGCTCTGAATGTGTGAGTGTAAAAAGGAAAAATGTGCGCAAGTATAGAAATATGAAAGAAATAGATATGGTAAAAATGTCATAAGAAGATATTGAGAACAAACAAAATGCTTACCGCACATACACATGGTGACTCTGGGGCGTGTCACAACAGAGGTATAGATCCAAGATTATATTATCACCACTTATAGGTACTCATAATGATATACATATTAGTGTCATTTTTCTTTTCGTACAACATATATCAAGGAATTATCTTACCCCACATGCACATGGTGGCTGGTTACACAAACACTATAATTCCACTGTCACACGTTTAACATAGCTACTCTGTTCAGTACAATGCTGAATACTAGTATTGAATCCTCAGAGCCCGTGGTAGCGAAGCACAAAAATCCATGGTTGTATCTGCTGGTTTCATTGATGCTGTCGCTGCTGACTCCCAATACTGTCACCCAGCACTGTCATGGTGGAGGGCAAGGTCGTGGTGCCGCTACACAACTACCGATACTCACTCTATCTGCCACTTTGCAATGATGAGTAAGAAAGCCTTCACTATTGAGTCAATGATTATCATTGATGAATTATTAATGTCAAGCTCCCATATGATTACCATCGACTACTGCACAGCTCCACAAACATAGGTCTGCTAATAGTCTACAGCATCACTATACCATACACTCCATTTCCGTATCAATAAGCATGTCAATATGTGCTATAGAGAGTGGCATGCATTTTCCTAGACAAAATCAATTTCAACTCGATTTGTCTTTCACAAACCCAATGGGAATTTTCAAAGAAAGCAAACAGTCCTTTGATGGTGATGTGGATAATCCTCCATCCCGTTAACATTACAGTGATGCCACGTAAAACCATGCAGTGATGGATTACGGATTGTAGTGGTTCATAAGCATTATTAAGAAACCAATTATATACTGTACCACTCCAAATTATAGACCCAGTGTAGGAGGCATACAGAAAAACATCTACTGATTCTCATTGAATCATTGAAAGCAGGCAATGAGTCAAGGTCTTTTGCTAAAATAGGGTGTAAGGGTGCTCAGGTACAAAAGCTGATCTTTGAACTTCATATGAATGTAGATGTTGGGGATAGGTTAGGAGGGTTCCAATGTTTTGAAGAATATATTGAGATTGAAGTGTGTTTTCACTGCATTTACAGTCGTATAAATGCAATTGGTTATAGACATATTCTATCTTGTGTGACTGTGACATGCCCATTAAAGCACCGGTATTGAAAAAGAAGTTTTAACTATATGTATAATTAAAACAAGAGATCCCACAAAGATCTTCGTGTCCACCATTGTTTGATCTTTATTTGTTCTTTTAAAGTTGGATTTTCTCTATTTTATTTTCTTCTCTCCTCTGTTTTAGTCCTGATTTACAAGAAGTTTGAAAATTTATTTTAAGAAATATCTTAATTTTAAACTGTCAAATCCAAGATGGTTGTCTGTCTGCCATTTTACTTTTTCTGATCAGTTTCAGAATCCAAAAAAGCATAACTATGGACCAAGGGCAACTTACAAATGAAATTTGACTAAAATCCAATTTGGTAATTAGGAGAAGACTATTGTTATTTTATATTAGGTATAACTGCCAAAAAAGCAAAAATTCTGTACAATGAGTACATTGAGTACTTAAAGATTTGTAGTGATGTCTATTATTACTGATCATATCAATAATGATCATCCTTCCTGTTTCCGGTGACATAAAGTCTATACATCTTACATTGTAACTTCCAGGAAAAACAGTACAGGTATTGTAGGAAAATGTAAAATTAGACTGATTATCAATTTCTACATAAATTTGTTGTTCACATGAACAAATACAAGTGTAAACGAAAGGTTCATTAAGTATTAGATATCCTGCCTTTTGCTCTTAATTTCCAACATAAAAAAATGATAGATTACTGTAACAAACGCATTAAGTCACTGCTGTCAACTATTTTTAGTTATACACATGACAACATGTAAAGTCAGTCTAATTTAGGTATCAGATTATGAAAATATTCTCTGAACACAATGTTAATATAAATCAACATGCTTGTCTAAAGATTTCTTTGAACTCTCATTGAATAATTAGATTGAAAAAACATGTGCACATGCATCACTAAAGACAGTGTTATTAAATTTGTACGCTTAACCTAAACCCTGGATGAAAAGTGTAGGAAGGATAGCCTGCATATGATTAAACCAATAATTCTGTATTCTCTACATAACAGTTAGATCCATACCAGACAAAACTTTAGGCTGTGTATGGTTGTTGTATTTGAGGAGATTCACAAAATTTGGGTGAAAGCTGTAGGAGGTTGTTTAGAAAGACAATATCCATGTTTGGACATATGGATATAAAGGTGGATGTATGGACAGATATAAAGACAGATGGACAGACATACAACAGTGACCTGATCACGACTTCCCTTACTTTACCAAAGGGCTGTTAGGACCATAAATCAATATCAGAACTATCTACTGGTTCTAGTGAAGAATACATTTAACCATTCACTAAACCTAGTATCAATAATTTTTGATGGACAGAACTGGATGTTGCCTGTAGGGCCTATGTTACAGGATTAATCCTGTTAAAAAATAACATATACATTCCAATTAAAGAAATATTCATGGATGGTGATCTTGAATTAAAGATACTACTTAGAATTAAACTTTGGCTCATGATTACAAGAATATTGTAAAATTGTAGAAGTTTCACAAAAAATCTGAGCATACTTGTTTGAGATATAAAATTTGAAAGCCTTCAGGAGACGAAATTCAAGATATATTTCTAATTCATTGTGGTCACATTGAATTCAAATGCAGCTCACTTAAAAGCCCCTCTTAGTAAAAAGTTTTGTATTAAGTTTAATCAATCTGAGAGAACTCATTTTACTAACACTTATTTTCTGATAAGAGTAACAGTGATCTTAACCTTTGACCTGAAATGTTATCCCCCTTGCAGTAAGATGGAAGTAGATAGTATATAGTTTGTATTTTGGCTCAAGTGAATCACATCAAAGCACGGAGTCCCTTTGATCAATAACCTTTTCAGGTTTCACATATTTTCCATAATTTTTTTCGACTCTCTTTTGCAATTTCGTTTGTGATTCATATTGTTAAGATTGTGAAAACTTCCTTATTGTTCAATGTGAAAAATATGAGAAATGATTTCAGTGTGTTGAGTGATGTAAACAGGAAGAGAAAACCAAGTCTACTTGACCTTCTGTGAAAGCACTTAAACCTTTATTTAAATCACAATAAATGCTCCGTTTCTACATAGCACAATAATTACATAATGACAAAGATCTACCATTCTTATGTGTAAGAAAAGATCAAATATTTCTGATTTGTCACGTTTCAGGTTATGTTGTTAAACCGGTTTTAGTTATTATTAGTAATCACAACTTGTAATGACAAAGATCTGCCATTTTTGTGTGTAAGAAAAGATAAAATATTTCTGATATCTCATGTGTCAGATTATGTTATTAAACCAGTTTTTTTTATTATTAGTGATCACAACTTGTAGTAGAATCACTTATTACATAACACCATTAGTCACATGATGACAAGCACATACTTTGTGAATACTTGGAAAACTGGTTTTCTTTGTAATTAAACAACTCATTGATTACAGTGAATTGCCCTCATTGAACTATCTGGTACACTCAAACTTGGCCGGCAAAGTGACAGACACTTGAAATATTTGTGTACAGTTTTCTATCAAAGAAAGTGTACACCCAGAATAAACATGTAGGTAAACGTAATAGACAAAAATAAATGAGACAATGAGTAAGTAACATCTGAAGTAACTTACATGTAAATCTGGAGAATTTTGATTTCAGATTGGACAGATCTGGTATGGATCTTGATCGACTTTTTCCCCGGAGTTCTACCTCAACAGTCTTAGTGTATTTCTCAAAGAATTCTTCGTCAAAAGCCTCGATTTCTTCCTCTGTAGAAGGGAGTGGGAAGTCACTATTGTCTCCTGTGAAAGAAGATATTAAAACTAAAATACACGGAAGTTGGAAAATCAATCAGGTTATCCTAATATGTGTTATCACACTAAGATAACATCTTTAATGTAAGTGAATAGATTCAATAATCTGTATTAATCTTTGAAAGTGAGCAACATCAAAGAAAAAACATCAACAAACAAAAAATGATACATCAGAAAATTCATTGATAAGAAAAATACATCAAAAAAGAAAGAAAAATACCTTAAACAAACAAAATACATAAAAAAAAGGAAAAATATGTCAACAAAGAAAATACATCACAAAATACATCAACCAAGAAAATATATCAACAAAAACAACAAGGCCTGTCAGAGACGGGTACTGCTCCTCAAATGAGACAATATTTAAGTATGTAAAATAACAAAGGACAGTAACTCCTATATTATACAAATGAGAGTTATGGTTCTTGTACATGGCACTTCTCCTTAGGAAGTTTTATGTTGATACCTCAAGTAGTTTTTGTATTATGCTCTGCACAAAATTGTGAAGGACAGACAAATGGACGGCCAAAGCAGTGACTATATGCTTTCCCTTCGGGAAGCATAATAGAACAATGCAAGAGAATGTAAATATTGCACACAAAAGAAACCCCACTGAATACATATACCAGGTAAAATGATATAACACTTCAGACAACCAGGAAGTACATGTCATAGCTGAATTACGATTATGTAAATAAAACTTATTATCATCCATCTATGCCTCAGCACATGTGTTTCCTTATTAACACTGAAACTGTCACCTCTAACTTTGTACAGAATTTCTTCTGTAAAAACTCATGGTTCAATAATATTTCCTTCCTTAGCACTACTTTTTCAATGATTCTGTAGTAATTATTCATCTGATGGAAACATCAATAGAATAATCCTGAGTGATAACCTATAATGGATCCCACTCTGATATACCAGGGGGCAAGTGATAACCTATAATGGATCCCACTCTGATATACCAGGGGGCAAGTGATAACCTATAATGGATCCCACTCTGATATATCAGGGGGCAAGTGATAACCTATAATGGATCCCACTCTGATATACCAGGGGGCAAGTGATAACCTATAATGGATCCCACTCTGATATACCAGGGGGCAAGTGATAACCTATAATGGATCCCACTCTGATATACCAGGGGGCAAGTGATAACCTATAATGGATCCCACTCTGATATACCAGGGGGCAAGTGATAACCTATAATGGATCCCACTCTGATATACCAGGGGGCAAGTGATAACCTATAATGGATCCCACTCTGATATACCAGGGGGCAAGTGATAACCTATAATGGATCCCACTCTGATATACCAGGGGGCAAGTGATAACCTATAATGGATCCCACTCTGATATACCAGGGGGCAACACATAACCTCTGAGTCGGTAAAATAGCTTATAACAATGAAATGGCAATAATGGAGTTGATGTTAAATGAATAATACTACCACAAATGTACCTTTTTAATAGTTTTAGCCATAATCTTACTTCATTTTGTTTGCTGTAAGTTTTGCACTAAAATATGATCCTGCTAATTGCAGTTGCTGTACATCGTTCATAAAGTAAATATATGCAAATTTACATCATATGTACCAAAAAGTGATAATCTGCTTAAATTTGATAGTACCAAATTAAGTAAGTTTAGAGTATGTGGAAAGACAGGATCTATTTGACTATAACTGCAGCAATTACTAATCTGTATTATGATTTGAAAATCAAAAGAACTAAAATACATTTATCCTCACTGATCTGTTGATGATCATGACCTAAACCTAAACATCATTCAACACAGAAACACAATTAACCATGATCCTTTAATAAATGAAACCAGAAGAAAAATATGGAAATATTTCTATAGATATACATTGTATATACTTCAACAACAGACAAAAAACGGGACATTGATTCACTTACTGAACAAATGCTGAATTAAAGTTTGATTGTAAAACCCATTCAGAAATGAAATAACTTCAATGAGAGTCTTCTACATCAAGTAAAGACGATCTCTACCACTTAACACATAACACAAATTCTTTTCAGGTACTTGACTTGTTTAACATTCTTTTGATCAAAATTCATTCTGAACCAAAGTTGTTTTCAGTAAGAACAGGTACCACCAAAAAAGTCAGTCTCTGTACTAGGATCAATGTTGACTGTGTGATAGTGTAGATCTCTGACATACAAACTATTGTACATACAAACTACTGTAAGATACTGTCATGACGTAGCTCATGATACTTAAACATGGTCTCTCGTCCATTATAATAGGAAGTATTATTACACCACAGGGCAGTTTGACGACTACGGGGCCACACATATTAAACATATATATCAGATTTCAGCAAAACAGGACAGTAACTTACAATATCAGCTCTGTAGAAATTCTTAGATCACATACAAGACTGATGTGGCATCAGATATCATAGAATATACAATATTAAAGTAAAGATTGTGACATTCATACTTACGGAGATAGCCTAGAGCTGTATGACCAGATCTGGTCTATATGGTTTAGTATACTATTGACAGGAAGAGGATGCAAAATTATTCATTCCTTCCGACAGATATATATATACACAGTGTATATATCTTATCACAAACAGACTTTGTAGTGCCCAATATGGAGGTGAACTAAAAATAGGGTTTCATCTAATAAAAAATAATTTAAAACGCTTACAAAGATATTTTAGTAGCAGTCTGAATGGATTTTAATAGTTATAGCAAGTTATAATAGAAGGATTCCTTGTTTGTGGAAAGGAGATTCACATCGACATGAATTGGAGACAACAGATCACACTAAAGCCAATCATTTTTCAGGAGCTAACTCCTACATATACTTCCTTTCAGGTTCACGTTCCTGTTTGCATGGCTAAACTATTATCTATTCATATGATGCTGTGAATTTATAATTGTATAACTACACAATGTTATAATTATACAATGTTTTAATCATACAATGTTTTATGATACAATGTTATAATCATACAGTGCCTGAATTATACAATTATTTGATTATACAATCATTCAAAGTTATTCATATCATGGCACTGTATAATTATAACATGATGGATACAATTATACATGTTATGTTACAATCATACAATAATATAATTATATCATGTTATAAACGTACAATGTCTTGATTATACAATTTTATGATCATACAATGTTATCATTATACAATTTCATAATTATCATACAATATATAATCATACAATTTTATAATCATACAATGCCATCATTTTATATATACAATGTTATAATCATACAATGTTATAAATATAAAAGTTATAATTTTACAACTTTATGATTATACAATGTATAATGTAATTATGTAATTTATAGATCACCAACAGTTATCTACCCTTTAAAGTTATGTCAATACCAGCACCTATCCATCCACATGTAATAAAAAGTTTTTATTTACTACTCATGGTGACCTCTCCATTTTGCCTTCTCCACATCCATCATTAAAGTATTGTCAAATCAAGTTCTCTTCACAATGCTTTGGCTTTTTATTCAGAATAAGAAAATGACTTGTGAAACACACCTTCCCACACACCACATCCCAAACACAACATCCAACACACATCTTCCTATATATATATCCTTCTGTATACACTCTTCCATACACCACCTCCCACATACACCCTCCTGTATACACTCTCCCATACACACCCTTCTGTATACACCCTCCCATATACACCCTCTTGTATACACTCTCCCATATACACCCTCCTGTATACACCCTCCCATACACACCCTCCTGTATACACTCTCTTGTATACACTCTCCCATACACACCCTCCTGTATACACCCTCCCATATACACCCTCTTGTATACACTCTCCCATAAACACCCTCCTGTATACACCCTGTTGTATACACTCTCCCATACACACCCTCCTGTATACACCCTGTTGTATACACTCTCCCATATACACCCTCCTGTATACACCCTGTTGTATACACTCTCCCATACACACCATCCTGTATACACTCTCCCATATACACCCTCCTGTATACACCCTCCCATACACACCCTCCTGTATACACTCTCTTGTATACACTCTCCCATACACACCCTCCTGTATACACTCTCTTGTATACACTCTCCCATACACACCCTCCTGTATACACTCTCTTGTATACACTCTCCCATACACACCCTCCTGTATACACCCTCCTATATACACTCTCCCATACACACCCTCATTTATACACTCTCCCATACACACCTTCCAGTACAAACTTTTCCATTCACAGGAGAGCCCTTATTTGGGGATATCTGGAAACACTGTAAAGGAATTGGATTTTTTCTGTCGTGTGAGTTTTTTTAGCATACATGAGCTTTATGCTGCACATGCTGCTTGTGTGAACATTTCTCTCACATGGGCAATATACTTACATATGATTACAGCCTCATTTGCATGTTAAAATGCATGAGCCTCATATGTTAGTTCTCATGTTGGAATCTTATGAGCTCCTCATGTGCAAGTCGTGAGCAAATTTTGGTATGGACTTTGTAATGTTTACAGAATCAACAATACATACCATCATAAATACAGCTGAGATATATTGATAAACTTAGTATGCATTAATTCTGTTATGGCCTAACCCTTGACCAGTTAAAGGTTTGTTTTTATTATCTAAAGCCCTATTAATATTAATTAACTGCAGTGCAGCATTTGTATTTTTACAGATCAAGTTGACAATGAAAAAGCTACTGGGTTTAATTGGCTAGAATTAGTGGAAGATATATGCAAACAAAAGTTAAAGTAATTATTACTGAAATGAAAACCGGTGTGTATCTATCAACTGTTATCAGGAAAGGGTCACATTCAGGAAGTATTCCAGTCAGAAAACCATCAATATCACTTAAACTCATATCTGTACATATCTCATTATACCCTGTGTATGACATAACTATACTCTCAATGGTTATCACCCCACATTGGATTAGTCAGGAAATCAACCAATCA